TCGCCGGAAAATGACTGTCGGCGGTTCTTTTCAACTTTCGCGAATTTTGAAAAAAATAAAAATCGCCAGACTTTTTGGACATGCATTTCGAAGACTACCCACCCAAAGGTATCTTTTGGTAAAATAAAATGGAATTTGATTTTTTGGTTTTGTCCGGCGATTCTCGACCCTTACTGACATTCGCTCATATACTGACATATAGTTTTAGAGTTCCTCGTCAAAAATGTAATGCGTGTGACCGTAATTTTTTTTGACGTCATCAAAATAAAAATTCTTTAAGTTGCGATATCGTGCATGCCCACGCAGCAATCTCGTCTCTAGTTTACGCTTAATTCTCTTGGTCACCAAGAGAAACGCAGGTTCTGGGGACGAGATTGAGCTGCCTTAAATAGGCTATTCAATGATATCAGATGGATATCTATCCAACAGGATATGAAGAAAGAAGAAATCAGCATCAACATATGGCAACGTCAGGTGAGTAAATCATGTAAGGTTGATTTTCCTGTGACCTTGACAACATTCAGACATCATTCGGGTTGGGCTTGTTGGCTTTGGTAAATCAGTCACCATTTACCATTTACCCGGATATTCCGGTTGGAAAACCGCAAATAGTATGTATAATTCCGATCGGAAAGTCACGAAAAAATCAGTCTTCTGATTGAGTTAATCCACTTTTCCCGCTCTTTTCGGTTCATTTGGTAGACGCGTGTACCATTTTTACGAAAGTCAAAGTTTCCCACTCTTTTCTTACGATTAGCGAATGAATTTCCAACCGGATGGATTGGTTTCAATGGTGAGCACCCCAGATCATCGTAGATAAATCGATGGATCATGTCAGGGGGGAAAAAAAGGGTAAAAACCAGATGGTCCATGGGAAATTCCCCAAAAATTGTCTTTTATTGTCTGTAAGCAAATACAACACCACGAGAACTATTTGAAGTTTAATTTTTGAAGAATTAAAAAAGAAAGCAACTTTGTTTTGATTGACAGTACTGGTATGACAACAGGCTGGCATGGAAACCGTCCGAGCATGAAAATATCATACAACTAGGCGTCTTCTTAAAGGAAATCTGGACACCGGATATCTATCTGTATTATTCGTAAGTGGATAATTAAGATACGTATTATAGAGAAACTCTTTTCAAAGCTAGTGTATATAAGTAGAGGTAGTGTATATCCTCGCCTCTCACCTCTAGCTGGCCCGKGTCTCGTGCTCGATTTCTGTAATCGCATCCCATGCGACCGAGTTACTTAGGTCTTTCCCTTTTCGAGGGTTTCTCCGATTTTCCTCGATTCTCTCCACAAAACAGAACACGCCAACTTATGAACTACATGCCATGACTTCCAGCTGAGCGGTGAACGCGGCGCGCAAAACATGAGTGGACAAAATGACCGGCCCTAAGCACTTTTAGAGTTTGAAAGAACAAAGCAAACATGGTGGTAAATTTAATTTTTTTTTTTTTTTTTNTTTTTTTTAATTCTTCCTTCTTCCTATTTCTATCACTTGTAGGCACGTATGAAAATAAATAAAAGAAAAATAAATAAAACAGACTGAAAAATATGCAAAAGTTGGGTTACAGTAGCCTGGGAATGAGGGCCAGTGGCAAAACAGCTAAACGCGCTGTGATTGGCTAAAACAAAACTCGCCGCTCAGCTTATAAATCAGTCTATGCATAAATTGTTTTGAGGTTCAAACAAAAGTTGAATAAGGTTTGAAAGTCTGAAGAGAAAACTTCATAAAACTATAAAACTATCTACTGTTAATCAATGATAAGTAAACAGACACCTCAACTGTGACGTTGCCTCGTCCGGCAGCGTACTGATTGGATGGTCAGTTCAAATCTCGTGCGCTGTGATTGGTTCAACAGATATCGTTACTATTCCGTAACGCTACCACTGACACGAAGTCTCCCTATGACTGACGTAACTTATAAAAAGACGTGACATAATTGTGGCGCAAATGCATTTATGTGACATCTAGCAAAGCGTGACATGGCATAACGCCTGACATATATAGACCCTCGCTTCTCAAGATTATCTAAATAGCAGGGTAACATGGAATACAAAAGAAATCACGCTTTTTCTCGATGGAATCTGTGGCATTTCTTTTGTATTTTTAGGGACCATTAAGGGCGATATGATTAGGACTCACTACATACATACATACACTCACTCAACAAACTGATACCAAGCAATCACCTGTAATTTAATTTGTTCTGTAGGTCAGGAAAAGTTAACAAGTTTGGAAAGGACTTTCCAGGTGGCCTTCCATTTAGTGCACAAATAAGTAGCAGTGGAGTCCTATTCTTCTCCCAACCAACCACAATCTATGCTCCTTGTGAGGTGGACGTAGGATTCTACCCCTTTGACGATCAGATCTGTAAACTGACATTCGGCACGTGGTCACAGGATGCGTCTGTCGTTCGCATGCTACTATATGAAGGTGGTTTTGACATGACGTCTTATCTTAATCACAACGAGTGGGAGATTGTGTCCGTCAAACCAAGTACACAAACGGTACAGCTCGGATCTTCCGAGAATGGTCACGCAATCGTGGTTTACACGATACATTTGAGGCGTCACGCGTTATTTTACATGATTAATTACATTCTACCATCGATTATTATCGCTATCTTGTCGTTACTTCTCTTTCTGATTCCTCCGGAGGTTGGAAAGAGGATGGGTGAGTAAATAAATAATAATTTTTTAAAAATTTATATTACTTATTTATTTATCCCAGGCCCGTCGCTAGGGTTTTGAAAGGGGGGATTCTTTTTTCTAACATTTTCTTATTGAAACTCAAATAGAGTTTCAATAAAAAATGGAGGTTTTGCATGACCACATGATGGTTTCTGAGCACGAAGGAAGCGTAGAAAAACCAAATATTTCCTAACGAAATCGTCAATCAATCATTATGTGACGTCAAAGCAGCTCAATTTGGTGGACAAAACAAAAAAAGTYCAGGTCTCCTGAGAGTTGGAAACCTATTGTTAAGGTGCTGACTCACGGTGCAACATTGCATGCAACATTGCACGCAAAAGGACTGTTGCAGCATGTGTCTAGCCCAAACTTGTTGCGCGCAACGTTGCATGCAACAAATCTGAAGTGGAATCGCGCTCTACGTACTCTTGTAATATTGCACGCAATAAATTTCATCATGTGAACATGGCTGCAACATTACCTGCAACATTTTGAAATTTCCAGCCAATCAAACTGCTGACCAAATATCTTAACATTGCAGGCTGACACAAGCGATGTTGTGTGATTTTGTTGCAATGTGTGTCACCCCGATTCAAATTTTTTCCTTGCAATGTTGCATGCAATGTTGCACCGTGTGTCAGCATCTTTATATCCTCCAAATTGAGCTGCATTCCCACGTGCTGCAAGGGGTCAACATATAGCGCGCGCTATTCAATCGCATAATGATCAGCTTGCACCATCGAATTTTGGATGCAAGATTTGGCACGCTAATTAACCAATCTGAGTTACGTAATACCTTGGCTTTATTGTAAACAAATATAATAATTCATTATTAATCATTGTTTTCTTTGCAGAGGCCGGCATCAACCTTCTTTTGTGTCTGTCTGTCTACCTAATGCTGGTGAATTCGAAGATGCCTTTATCGTCCAAGTCCTTTCCTTTGCTCACCAAGTTTTATGGCTGCACTATCATGATTCTCGTTGTCTCTTTGTGTTGTTCCTGTTGGGTTTACAGTTATTACTTCATGAATCCCTCGGGATGGGATATTTATCACTTGCCTTCTCTATTAGAGGTAGGGAGGGTTTTGACTTCTTAGGACGCGAGGAGAAACTATTTCAGGACAATAGAGTGCGCGTTCAACATGGGGCTAGAAAAATAAGGCTTATAAATTGACAAAAATATGTACAGGCAGTTGTTGTTAAGACATTGGGCAAGGGCTAGGGAAGGGAGTGGGGTAGGGAGCTAGTGACATGTTTGCCCACCACGGAGACGAGTGCGTTATATTTAAAGGCATACTAAGTAATATTGCCAATCACTTTGTGAATCGCCTCTAGAACTTCTTAGATAAACACTGCTAAAGGTTTCTACTTAATATTTTGGGATTTGCAAAAACCTTATGTTTCATGTTTTGTTTCAGAAAGTTATTTTCAATTTTCTTGGTCCAGCATTGAACTTGCCTCGCAAAAGCAGGCCCTTACAGCATTCTTCAAACCCTTGCAACATAGACGTGAAGGGCCACGAGAATCAAGCACTTGATGAAAACCAAATTTATGGACTGGAACTTAAAGGAGCTGCAGAAGCAAACACAGATCAATCCAAGAGCGAAAAACGTTTGACTCAAAGTAGTAGTTCCTTGGTCGATGAAGCTGTTTCAGTCGATAATAAAGAACAAGAAAGAGAGTTAAGTAAAGAAGAATGCTCAGCTGTTAAAGATGCTTGTGATTCAGGTCATGATGAAGAAAAAGCTGTTAAGAGCAGCTTGGTTGATGAAACTCTTTCAGTTAATGATACGATAAAAAAAGAAGGAAATCGAAGAGAAGAGGAATGTTCAACTGTTGCTTGTGATTCAAATCACGGTGAAGAAGAAGATAGGAGCAGCCTGGATCCATCGATGAAGAAGAAGAAGAAGAAGAAGACGAAAAAGAATTTAGTAAAT